GATGACGTCATACCTGGTCACGTGATCTTTTATTTTTTTTTTTGATGACGTCATACCTGGTCACGTGATCTTTTATTTTTTAATGACGTCATACCTGGTCACGTGATCTTTTATTTTTTGATGACGTCATACTTGGTCACGTGACCTTTTATTTTTTTGATGACGTCATACCTGATCACGTGATCTTTTATTTTTTGATGGCGTCATAGTTGGTCACGGGACCTTTTTTGTGAGAGAAAGTAAAGTCCCTAATCAAGTATTGAATAGAACAAGAATTTCGGCGCGATTACCTGCAAGAGTCGATGCCATCGATGCGGATGAAAAATCCGAATTATCTGGATTAATGGACCGCGTTTGCGTGTGCTCCATCCTCAAGCTATGTAGAGTAGATCTCGGTACCATAGTTGGAGACCGAAAGTCTGTTTTCCGTCTTCGCACTCTTATTCCCCCACTGCCACTGTTACTGGGCCCAAAGTGGAGCAACTCCAGGTGTCTCCGGAGATTTCTGGACTGTCTCAGTATAGCACCGCACAGGGGACACGTTGTGGGCTGATCTGAGACGTTTTTCCCCTTGTACTGGGTATCTAGAATGTCACCCATTCCCCGATGTTCAATTTTTATTGTAATATCAATTGCACTGATTCACAAATACATCACTCGTAATCATAGACTTCTTTTATTTACAAAATCCTATTCCATACAATCCGCACATTCTCATTTTCACACTTTATATAAAGATACTCCTGTGTCCATTGACATATGAAATTGAAGACGACAGGAAAATGTGATAACATTCCATTTAATTTCATACAGGTAAGAAAAATTATTGCCTCACTCCGAACCACTCTTAAAATTAAGAATATAAAAAAAAACTTAACGAATTTGTACGAGATATTCTTAACAGTCTGTAAGTACAAAAAAAGAATGATTTTCTACTGATTCCTAACAAAATTTCAATTTGTAAACTCTAAATAAAAATCCTAGAAACATTCTAATGACTTTAAAAACTCAAAAACGTCGAAAATTTATTCATGATTTTAAACGTTGCACTTCGAGATACAATCATTTATATAATTTATAGAATAAAAGAAATATCAAGTTTCTACATCGACTTATTCTCTAGCCGAGTTATCGCGAGAATGGCTGAATTAAGTTTTTCCAAATTACCCCACCCCTCAAGCCTATTCTCATCTCGCGATAGTGGGTGAAGGTCCATTCTGGTGGTTGCTGACGACTTCGGTTGCCCTGGCACTGGGTGAAGGCATTGGAGATGTCCTGAATACGATATTCTCACAGCTATTGCTCCCTCCACTGTCAGTCATATACGTGGGCCCAATGTATCCAGAAAGATCGATATCCGGTTTTATCTCGACGACCATCTGATCCTGAAGATGTTGCGTAGAAGGATGGCTGTTGAATCGATACTTGCAGGAGGTAAGGAGATGTCTCCTGAGATTCCTCGCCTGTCTGAGTGTCGCTCCACAGAGGCCACATTGTCCAGGACAGTCAGAGGCCCCCCTGATCTTGGAGGAGGTGCCCCCAGCCGCTGACGTTGAGGCATGAATTGTAGGAATAACTCCAGGTGGTACAATACCACCGGCAAACAGAGGAGAGTACTGCATCCCTTGTAATAAACTCTGGAGATGTTGTTTCGTCTCTGAAGCCTCCTGGTGTCTCTCCTCCAGTTCAACTGGAGTCGTTTGCTGATTTCCATCCCCAGTTCCTGCTAACAGACACAAACACATTGTTACCATGCAGGGCTGAACTGTTAATTTATTTCAGTTTAATATTTTCCTTTCGAATGAAATTTAAAAAAATGTCCAATTGTTTTTCATTTTCATTTTTTCACATTTCGTGTCTAATTGGTGATTTTGGCAGTTCAACCCAGATCGATGGTTGTGCTTGTGTCCATTGATATCGATTTTTTTATCCCAGATGTTTTTGTGATGACAAGGACACAAAACACAAGTTTTTTTTCCTTATTATTAGTGATTTAATTATTTACCTTCGTCTCCAGGGGTGGCCTCCTCGGTTTTCTGATCGTAGTCTGGGGTTCTGTTGTCCTCCTGTCGCTCCTCGGAGTCCGTTGTATTGTCCAGACGTGGCCATTTACTGCACGACGACGACGATTTTCTTCTCTTTCGACGACGTGGATTGGGAATCGAGGAGTTCATTGCTTCTCGGGTTATAGGCTCTGCTGCCTCTGGAATCGCTGATGCTGGCACTTCCTCTCCATTCTGATTGATTACAATGAGATTTATTGATTATTCGTGACTTAATTAATGCATCAATTCAATTTGATATCTCACCTCAGTCAAAACAGTAGGCGGTGTTAATCCATGAATGCTCAAACAATGAGCAGCTTGTAACAACGAAGGTAATTGCGAGGGCTCCACACTCACTTCTCCACGATAAACAAATTCCAGGAGTGACTCGAGGTCGTCTGAACTAATGCCTGCGAGCATGACAACTGGATGTTGACAGGGTGTACTCTGAAATTGAAATTATTATTGCATTTAGAGTATTCGATAGAATTTTTTAAATTAATAATTTACCTTGAGGAGATCCAGGAGAAAGGGACTGGCTGCTGACAGTACTATCTTGTGAGCTGGAAAGCTTCTACCTCCAGCAGCCAGTGTCACGTCAACGAGATCACCATGTCCTCTCAGTAATTGCACAGCACTCGTCAAGGAATTCCCGAATTCTCCCCACGAAAGACTGTACAGCTGTCCACTGCTTCCCATATTCTTCTGCAATGAGAAAAAATTCAAGAACTCAAATCAGTAATGATAAATAACAAGTAAAAATTGAGGGGTTTCTATGCTTTCTCGAGAATTTCTCAAATTCGGCTGAGTGAGAATCGAAAAGCTTTATTTCATTCTAAAGATATTTGATCAGACTACAAAATGCAACTTGGAAAATTGAAATTGCATTGTTATTCCAGAAGATATGTGGAAGTGAAGGAGGTCGATTATCTTAAATGCTCATTCTCCCGATTTCTTTCCCCTTTCGCTATCTAATTAGTAAGACCCCCACCCCAACACCTTGGCGTCGTGGTCCAATGGACCATAACCCAATTTATTATTCTCACCTCCACCCCGTGGTTACTTTCCAGACTTCAAAAATCGAATAAAACAATTGGATCATCATGAGGATCAAGTAGACTCACCTGATGATGTTTCTAGGTCGTACGAATCCGGTGAAAGTTCCTGTATCTCCAGAAATTGGGGAACAGTCACAGGTTAAACACCATAATTACTAAATTCCACAGTCAGAGCCTCGATGATTGACGATTCTTCTCAAGAACTTCTCAATTGAATGATTGTTGCACTGTTGTTGATATTTCACTGTTGATTTCACTCGAGGAATAATGATCATTCGAATTTTCTGTCAGGAGTTCACGAAAAACGTCACATTTTACACACGAGTGGACATGTGCTGCTGTGGTAATGGCCAGAACTTCTGAAACAACAAGAAATGGGTGACAATATGAATAAATGAAAAGTAACTAAAGTTCTAGGGATTTTTTTTCCTTCCAGTTTGTCATTTTTTTAAATGCGCAATTTATCAGAAATGATTCTTTTTTAAACAGAAACTTTATTTCAGGACGATCAGACAATTCAATGATCCCATACCAAGAATTACATTCAAGACTTTCATCTGTAAATTTTTGACTCTTATAGTACACTATTTATATTACAATCACAAGGTATGCATCGAAGTAAATGCATATTACACAAACATTAATGGGTACATCCACTGCTTAAAAAATCTGCTGAGTTTTCCAAAAAAAATTGTAATTCAATTTATCAAGAGAATTGATAAAACTTCCGATTTTCACAAAAAAAAATCGACAATTTTTGTGAAAATTCCCTGAAATTTCAGCAGAGCTGTCACTCGATTGAAATTTCAATGCCAAAAACTGGAAATTCAATGTAAATTTAAACAAAAAATACATTCTCAAGCAATCAGCCGTGTAAGTACCCTAAGCTGTGAACTGACCATTTAACACGACACCCCTGCAATCTTCATTTTGTACACATGAATACATCAATTGTCCGTAAAAAGACAACTTCAACATCAACCCCATCCCCTGATTGCACTCAACCACCTAATGGTAGACAAGATAATTATTCTCAATTATTTACAGACCATTTCCTCTGCAAATAAAAAAATATACGAGCTATAATTACGTCGACAGTCGTAGATTAATGGCAATGATTTATCAGTTTCACATATTCGATATAAATCGTTATTTACACTGATTGAATTTAAATTCTCTGTACACCACAATTTCCCTACCTACATTTCAAAATAAAATCAAATGCATGTACATAGACTCGCGATAACTGAAAAGCCCTTGCACTCAAAAATCAAATAATTAATTAATAATAAATAATCACCAATCATCGACATAAAAACCGTAGAAAAACGTTAAAACACTAGCCATTAAAGTTCGTCTTTCTTCTCTTCAACGTTTTCACGATTTTCTCTCGTTTCCTCTTCACCCTCGACCACCTGTACCTCACCACTATTTTTCCTGTCTTTCCCTTTGGTCTCCTTTAATACCTTCTCTCCTCCTCCTTCCTCTTCGAGACCTTCTTTAGCTCTGTATTGAGGCTCTTCAGAGTATCCTGAATGTTCTCCAGGAGATGTCCATAAGCCGTGAAAGACTCCACGAGCTCGATGAGTATCTCCATGTCCAGGAATGTCCAGGTTGGGAACAGTGTCACTGAGTTCAGTGACAAACCAGTTGATAATCATGAGGGGTGAGAGATCCTCGCTGGATGCTGACTCCTTATTCTTCCTCTCCTTCGCTAGCCAATCGTAGTAAACTCTCATCTGGCTGAGGGGTATCACCTCGTTCGGTGGATTTTTGGTACTCGCGTGAATTTGATTCACAAGAATTTGCTTCACTGCCCTCCAGGCTCTCTCAAACAGCGACGACACCTCGTCCACTGGAACAACTAGTGGTGGAGTACTTGGTTGTGTAGATAATCGAACTAAAAGATTGGGGGTCTCCAGGTATCCCTCCAGAATCGAGGCCCTCAGGTGACCCTTCTCGAACACCACAGCCTCATCCTCAGAGGGCTCCTGAGGACTCGGAATAGACGATACCACAGCACCTGTCTTCTGGATTCATTAAAATTAGGGGATTAACTCGAGGAGTGCAGGTGAACTCGTCAATATCTCGTGATCAAATGATTATTAATTCAAATTGTCAGATCTCATTTCAACCTCTGAAAATATTTCTTCGGATTTCCACTAACATCGAAATTTTTTACTCTCCAGTTCTCGAGTTATTGACGTTTGAATAATGATAAATAAATGAAAACACTCGGCTTTAAACATCAGTCATATAAAAATATAATTAGAAAAATGTAAATCACAATGGCTGAATAACTTACAACAAAAAAAATCTACAAAATAATAATTTCAATAATTTCAATAATTTCAATAATTTCAATAATTTCAATAATTTCAATAATTTCAATAATTTCAATAATTTCAATAATATAAATAATGGAATTGCGGGTATTCACCCCTATAATTTATCTATTGTGAGTACTATCTAAAGTAATACTTTTGGAAGACGAATAGTAAACCACAAAGGAAACAAACCTGAGTGGACACCGGTCGAGAGAGAAATTCCTTGACTGAAGTTTTCAGTCTCTCGAACATCGATTGATCGTCCACTGGAGATTTTAATTGACTTTCATCACCTACGTAGTCCCCTGGAATGAACAAATTATTAAAACTCACTCATTGCGTATTTTTCACCTACGATAATAAATAAAAATGCAGCAATTATTAATTGAAACAAAAAAAAAGCATTACCTATTGTCACGATGACATCGTTCTCGCTGCCAATGACAGCCCTGACAAGCTCACTGGCTTCAACATTGAACAAAAAAACGAAAGGAATTTTGACGTCACCCTCTGCACTGCCATCCCCAGACATGGAGAACATGGAAGAGCCCTCAGCACTCGACCCCATGGTATTATCCAGAACAATTCCAGCAATGGCTCCAGCCTTTTGCACCAGCCTAGCCTTCTCCACGAACATGCAATTGCCCCTGGAGACGAGAGCAATATTTCCTTGTATCATTCTGGCATTAGTGATCTCCGAGCACGCCTTAGATGGTTCAGCAAGCACAGGTTTCCCGATGATTTTCTTTTCTCCCCTCAATTTGGGCCCAAACTGGGCAGGACCACCGACAAAACTCATCTCCTTGCCCTCCCTGATCAGAGTTACCGTCTGAGGTCTCACTCCCTCGTCTTGCGCCTGTCTTCGACTGAGTTCCACCATTTCCTGCATAAACATAAGCCCCTCCTCAGCATCCTGAACAGTCCTGGCATTAGAAAAGGTGTGAAGCAATTGAATTCGGCCATCAGCAGAAGTGAGAATGGTGATACCCATGTTGGATAGGATCTTGAGGTGGTCGAGATTATTTGCCTGAAACTGCGAAGCACTGAGTCGCCTCTTGATAATTCTCCTGGGACAGACGTCCTCCACCATGTTCCTGAGGGGTTGCCTCACAGATGCTGGAAACAAGTGGAGACTGTTGGGACATGTTCTGTCCAATTCCTGCACCTGAACATCCACATCCATCTCTGACGAGACATTGGGACGTACTGCAGCAAGAGTTAGGGGCAAAAGGTGTCCCTCGGTTGTAAATATAAACTCGTCGAGATCCAGAACGAGATCGTTGGGCTCGGCAAACAGGAGGAAGAGGTACTTGAAGGTCTCAGATAAAACGAATGAGTCCATTGTGTCGTCGTGCTTGTTCGTTCGCACGTCAGATACTGCTGCATAACCACAAGGCACCCTGGCATACGTCTGAAGACTCCTGAGGACTTTACGACCTACCCCCAGGTAGTAATGATCACCAGTGGCACGATACAGGAAGTACGTTGACTCCAGGAATTCAGGACGCAGTGGATGGTGGCCCCAGTGGACCTGAAAGTCTGTGGTAAAAGCCTCAGGTATAAAATTATGGCGTTGCATCACCTGGTAGAGCATCTCATGGGTCTCCACTGCTGGTTTTATGTCACCCTTGAGTACCTGAAGACCTGGCCAGAAGGCCAGCAGGGCGTCCATGAAGTTCTTGGAGTTTGTGTTTGGCCTGTGCATGTGCACATCAAGGAGCATTGGACCCTGACTCACGTACTTCATGATTGCCTCGTAATGACGATTGAAACGCCCCAAGTATTTCTCATCTCCAAGTAATATATAGGCCTTGAGGCAGTACTCGTAGTAGGAATCGATTCCAGCTCCCACACCAGAATCCCGTCTCACCCAATCACCTGAGTGTACATTCAGGACAGAACCCATCAGGTCAGTGCCTCTGTGACGCATTCGCCAAAGTGCATCCATGGCTTTTTGCGCTTTCTCCTCGAATATGTACTCGCCAGTTAATCGAGATAGGGCAGCCATCTCGAGGATCATTGAGCCAGCACATGCTGTACATGTTTCACGGCACATTTCTCCTGGTACTCCCTTCATACCGTGTCTCAAATTTATTCTACCGTACGGAATGCCAGTTGTTGTATTGAATGCTGGCAGAAATTTGTATCCCAAGTCTTTTGCCATCTTCAGGAGTTCACCTCTGTACCAGGGCATTATGTCTGCTCGTGTCTGAAGGTATTCAGCGAGGATGTGACCACTCAGCAAACCCCCCAGCATTCGAATATTAGTTTCGAATAACGAAACGATCACATCAGTGTCGAAGGAGACATCCTTAATAACTAGTTTCACAGCATTTTCAAATTCCCCCAAGTCCCCAAGGACTACCAGAGTGTCCAGAGTGTCAACGAGAGTCAAGGAGAAGTTCCCAAGAGTTGAGTCAATGTCTCCCCTGTCCGGCTCGGATCCTCGATATCTACCCTTGCAGCTCAGTGGCATCAACTCATCAGCAGGATAAGCGTTATCCATGTACGCGTTGTAAGCGTGATAAAACATGTCACGTGTCTCTTCCTTGAGGGATTCCTGCTCATCTCTGCTCATGTACTCGACATGATCCTCATTCAATCCCAACGAGCACCGAGCAACTTGTCCCACCACCAGAACACCCAGTAGAAATAATTCCCTCGCCATCTCAGACGGCAGCTTGTATTTTCAGGATTTGTCAAGATCTTATTCTTCCAGTTTTGCGCATTATTTATCACGTCGGACTTGGAATTGTTTTCTCCTTCTGTATAAACCAAAATTAGTTTTATAATTTTCAGTTAATTAAAAACATTGTTAATAACTGGATATTGGTTGAGTGAAATTCAAAAAATTTTGTTTCATCTTGAAGGTATTTAGACAAACTTGAGAATTAAATATTACTCCATAAAATCGTATGTTGGATTTGAGAGATATCGATGAGTTTCTGAGCTTCATTTCACCTCACCGCATTTATTCATTGTATGACATTCCTTTTGATAATTTCCCCCTTCACAAATCTCAAAACAATAATTTTCCTCTTACATACGTGTCTCCATTCTCTCCACAATGTGACACTTTAAATAATTTCAATCATTATCAGTACCAAGGATGACACACGATATTTATCAACTCCTTTTGAGCTGTTATCAGGGTGTTATTTACATCGTGAAAAATATCCTTGAAAACAAATCGAATTCATTCATACGACAACCAAAACATATTGACCGTATATTTTTTATGAAAAAAAAGCATTTCATGGTGTAGAATGAACGTGAAACCTTGCCCCATATTTTTTATATTTTTTCTATATATTTTCCAAAAGGAATTCCCATGTGAATATCAACGATTATTATTGAAATAAAAACAATTGAGCATATGCTTACGTGAGACACAACCATCGGCCAGTTACAGCTGATTACATGTTTTTTCGTTATCAAGGACAGATGATGTGGCTGTCAATTGACTCGTCACAAGTGTATCATATTTACTCTTCTAATATCCACCAATTGAATCCGTCTCGTCTCTATTTTCCACAATTTTTTTTTTGTCTCAATTTCCGGGAGGAGACGAGACTGATAATTTTTTTTTATCTGATAAGCTAACCTGTTCGGGGAAGAACTGAGGAACTGAAAAATTCTCTGGAAGGGGAGCAAGTGGATTTTTGTGGCACTGAGAAACTTCAAGGGAAGGCCATAACCTCAATTATTTCCCTGGAAATTATTAAAGGAATTGAGGTGAAACGATGGAACACGGACTGCAGACTACTTCACAGTGCGGTGAATCGTTTCGGAAAAACAGTGGAAATTTATCGTGAAATAATAAAATTATTTTGAGGAATTATGAAGCTGTTGACGCACAATATGTTGACGTCCAAGTGTCTCAAGGGGGTGACAGTGGGGTACCCCCTAGGGATCGTGGTAAGAATTTTTATTGAGTTTCTTTCAAATATTGAGGTTATATTATCGAATTTTTGAGAGGGAGAACACGTGTTGTCTCTGTTTGTCATCTAATGTAGCCACCGATTGCATTATCTACAGATTTAGCTATTAATTAATTTTTCCCATTTTTCGACACCTCAAATTGCACGTCACGAGGAAATCCAGATTTTCCATTAACAATTTGCGAAAAGAATTTATGTAATTTTTTTTAATGGCAGGAAATGCAGAGTTTTTCGTTGAATTTACATATTTACAAGTTGAGAGAATCGTAATTGTAAAAAATCGGTAGAGCAAGAAGTTGAGTAAAAAATTATCTCAAGAGATAAAAAAAAATGCTCTTAACTCTGCTTCCCAGGCAAAAGACATCAAAGTCTCCGAAGTAGATTTCAATTCGGAATTCATAGCCAGGATAATCCCAAAACTCGACTGGAATACACTATGGAAAGCAGCTGAAAGCGTAAGTACCACCCCCTTAAATATCCCTGAATATTCACTAAACTGTAAATATGCAACAGATAGGGCACGTCGGTGAATTGCCCCAGACCCTAATGCAAGACTTCGAGGGTAACGAAGATTTCCTGAAGAAGGTGCACCACGTTCTGCTCGAGGTTGAAGTTATAAATGGTGATTTGCTTTGTCCAGAGTCAGGGAGAAAATTTCCCATCAACGATGGCATTCCAAACATGCTATTGAACGAGGACGAAGCCTAGGCACTCCAAAGCCAAAGCCAATTATTTATGAAACTCCAATAAACCGTTAAGTTTATCACTCGAATGCTGTTCACGTATTTAGTTTTTGTATTTCAACAATTTCACAAAAAGTGAACCTAGGTAAATAGTCGCGTTGAATAATTATCGTAATTGAAATTGTCACAGTGTCCTCGAGACACTCATCAGACTCGATGAAACACTCGTTATAAGATTTAATGATTGTAGATTCTCAATATAACTGAATTATCAACGTGGAAAAGAAAATTCTTGCTTTTCGATTGAATTATTTTCCCAAGCTTTTGAAGATTTTTGAGTGGACGTTGTAACGAGGTACGTGCAAATGAAACGAGTTGTCTCCAGGGGTTCTTGCGTTCACTAATGGCATCTTGAATTATCGATTCAACGACCTCGTTTTCACGTCAATTCACCGACTGCTGAATTTTTACTCGATTCCGTTGATTGAAAGAATAATTCATAGATCCGAGATTAATTGAATTTTCGACCTATCGTCTTCATTTCATTTCCGCCTAATCACTTTTTTAAATTAATCTAGATTAAATAACACTGGGAAATTGTTTTGTAATTCGCTACTAACGTAAATGCAACACTACAAATTCTCTCTAGCACAAACTAATGGAGTCCGTTGACTGTAAAATCTCTCTCTGCCTGGAATATTGATCCCAATAATCTTTTCCCAAAGTTTGAACTTTCAATCGCCCGATGTATCTCATTACCGGCACTTTAACCAAGTTAACCCTGAGCGTTATATTTTGGGTTGACGCTTTGATCACCGGTACTTGAGGTGCACTGAACTAAATACACATATATCAAACGTATTGCCCCAGGGAGCATTGATACACATTCAACTTCATTAAACTTCCAGCAAAACTTTTGACTAAAAAATGCAGCTTCCAGTTACCCCAGAAGAATTCCATTCTTCAGTTCCGGTTGGACTAAAAAGATTAGACCGACACAATTCTAAGTATTGAATGATCTCTAGGATCTCAAACATTTTGTAATAGTTCCCCGCAAAAATTTCTTCCAAAACACTTTAATTACTCTAATTACCATTAATTACACTACAAATTCCACTTTTTCTTCTCATCAAAAAACGTTAATTATTGTTGAAGTGTCAATACCACGAGATTGGCTGATTGGAATTCAAGAAATTTTATTTCATCTTGAAGATATTTTTCCAAGCTTAAAAATGAAATTCTACTCGATTAAATCGCATCGTTGGTTCACGAGATATGGACTATTTTTCGAGCGTCATTCCCCCTCCCCTCATCATAAATGCATTGCATGATATTCCGTTCAAATTGCACTCCCAAAATTTTGAAAAATTTCTTTTGAATAACGGCCTTTGAAGACTCCCACCCAATTACGGTTACACCAAAAACGATTGAATAAACCCGGTACAATAACGATTATTTAAAAAAAAAAACAATTTCTGTATCCCTGGCGTTACACCCCAATCCCCACCGATTATGAGGGAAAAATGGAGCACGTACGAATTGCCCAACAATAATAATAAACCATAGAGACAGTCTGTGTGCCTGGAGAGGACCGGGTAGGAAGAGGATTTTGTATAGACACTGGCACAAGCATGGGCCAGGGTTAATCCCCTGGAACGAGTCAATTTCGTTGTGCCGCAGAGCGAGGGTAAAACCTTTTGGATGCAGTATACGGCCTAGAGAGCTCTCGATATGGGGGATAGAGTGGTCGCAAAATTGCGAGAATATCGGTGATACGTTTCATTGTTTTGTCATAAAAATAGGTGAATAGGAGAAAAAAGATCCAAGGAGGGCAATCCACCGCAGGGATACCTATGTATTCATGTTATTGCTGCTTATGTATACGGACTTTTGTCGAATCAAACACATGCCTTGGGTATAAAGGATCGAACGAGACAATTTATTGTTTCCCAAGGGTTTCTTTTCACAACTCGAGGGATGAACGGGGTGAGGGCTTTTTCTTCGGAATACGAGCCTTTTTTCTACAAATCGAAGGGAATAGACGCACTTTTAGAACGAATGCCAACGGTAAATCCCACCCGTTTCACCAATATTGTCTGTCTGGATAAGAAAATCCATTCAAAGAATTTTACTCAATTCCCATTTCTGGATTTTATTCTATTTCAACAATTGTGGGATAGTATTAACCGTTGAAATTCACAAGTGAATTGCGATAAAAATTTCAAACGAAATCAACGTTACAGTCAATTACGAAGGGAATGTGTGCAACGTTAATTTTCAATTGAGGAAAAAAAAATAGCCATTTGAATGGAATTTTCACTAATCTATGAATTTAGTGTACATCCATGTTAACTGTTGTGCAATGAAAATTTACAGTGAGAAATTTCATTCAAATTTCATTATCCATCCCATGAAACCTCGTTGGCAATAACCGTTAAAGAGCGTTTAATGTTTGTTTTAAATGATAAAAAGCCGTCTTTTCGCAGTTATGTAAATATAATAACGATTTATGATCATTTGCGTCCGGTTTCCACCCTTCCTTCACCCTCTCAGACCCTTTAATCGGGTTTTGTCGTTTAATTTTAATGAAGCCTCCGGCATACCCAGCAACTTTGACGTTATCTCGTTATAAGCGAATGTAATTCGCCGGGGATAATGTAATCGAAACGCCCGGCCACGAGAATCGCTGAATGTTGCGGGTAGAAAATAGGAGAAAGGTGGGGTATAGAGTTGGGCAATGGATGCACCTTCTCATTATTCACGAGTGCATTATTCGCAAATCAATTTGCGCATTTTCAGTATAACGCACTGTCTGATTTTCCAAAGCCCCATCTGCCCGTTTGTCAATCTATTGTCTATTTTATTATGGAATTAATGTATAACATTCTGACTATTCCCAACAGTTTCCAGTTGGATGAGTCCAGAATAGAGAGTCTGGAGAAAAAATTGTAGGCAATTTATTAGTAATCGATACCAATTCAACTCGACGAATTCTGTGGTTTTGTTATTTATCGATTAATCTCGAAAAATATCGGGTTTCAGAGGAAAGAGCAGAGGACCTTTCTTGTGTGAAATTTAATTAGCTACAAAAAAGTATTTCCGTGGTTTCATCGTAAATCGATTGCTTTCGGTGTAAATGGGTGATTAAGAAGAATTCAATTGCCAAGTGGTGTATTTTTTCACGGTCGGTTTTCAGCCGATAGCTCGAAATTGAAGCGATATATCGATTTTTTTGTATAACCATTTTTCATAGAGAAAGATGAAATCTACAAAAAAGGTGTCTATGAAAATATCGTTATCTTTCTTCAATTCCGAGATATCAGCAGTCTTACTGAAATCTTTTAAATCTTTGAAATGGCTAACTGAATTAAAAGAATTTTCCTCAAGTTTTAGATAAATTCTGGAAATCTCGAGGATTTAAATGAAATTTTGTGAGAATCCGTCGGGTGTTGAGTGCTTCGAAGACTTTTAGAGGCTAATCACCTTCCAGAGTACAATTATATACTCAGGGGACTTGGCGATTTCATTTCCGTCATCAACTTATTTACATTGGACTCAAGTATTCACTGATGGAGGAGAATTGGGAGAAAACGACTGTTTGAATACAAAAGAGTTTATCCAAGTTGTCGAGCGGCTAAAAGAGAGTGCCTTTGTCTATTGTCCGAGAATGTATTTGGATATCTGGAGCAAAACTAAAACCTCGGAAAATCAGCAGAAACGCGAGCCAAAACCAACTCCGGGAGTAATACCTTTTCATCCCTAGTTTTCGGGTCTTGAGTGCATGATTTATGAACAATAGTGCTCCCACGAGTTGATTATTTGATAATAGTTCTTCGCGAAGAAAATAAAAAATCACTCACGGACGTAATAAACGTCTCGAATAATGACTCTCCGATGGCAGATTACGAGGGATTCATTATTGATTTGACATTAAATGATAAATCCGTCGGGATTGCCCCCTGCGATTGGCGGCAGCTGTTGAGATGAATTAAGGATTAAATCCCTAGCACCTGTCTTTCCTCAACAACTTTCTCGTCTTTGTCGTTTCTTTTTTCCAATCAGAATGTGGGGATTCGTCCCATCTATTCGTTTCATATTTACAATCGATACCAGGAATTTGTTATTATTTTGTTATAATTATAAATATCGAGGAAAGCAATTCCGAGGATTTATCTCGCGGTGATAAGAATGAAAACCTGAATAATGCGTTATTTCGATTAGAAATTCTTGAGTTGGTAACAGAATATTATTTACACCCTTGAGGCAAGGAATTGTCTCCTGTTGACTCAACCCCAATCAATCATCCTGGGAAGGGACAAATGGAGGCGTCATTGGGACAAATATTGCGTCGGAAAAGTTTCTTGTGGAGTTTAGTGTCTCTCCATTATCCGTGGGGACAGCGCCAGAAGGAGATTGCTGTTTTAGATTACACAATCGCGGAGTTTATGAGTTCATCCGAAAAAATTCAAGTTTATTTTTCAGATTTATGATTTTAACTTGAGACTTTAAGAGTTTCCGTGCGGGACTTGCGAAATATTAGTAACTTTTGTTTCTTTTTTTCTCTGGTTTATTATCCAATTTTTATTTCAAGATCTTTAAATCAGCGGATAGCGGTTAAAATTATGACTGGTAATCTAATCTGGAGCGTCTTCAATTGTTAATAACTGGAGATCGGTGGAGTGAAATCTGAGGATTTTTTTTTTCATTTTGAAGGTCTGGTTTAAGTTTTGAAATGAAAGAAGAATCATTCGATTTCACACAGCAGTTTTCGAGTCATTGACGATTGAAGACATTCCCCTCTGCCCAACTCTCCCCTCCATCTCTCAAGTAAACGAATCCCTGGCGAAAACCATTTTTATTCTTATTGCACTGTCCGCCCGATGAAGAAAAAAAATCTGAGAGCGACAGTATGATATAATGTACACGAGTCCATCGTTTTCCCATCTTGAATCCGTCAATACCGCCCCCGGGAATAATGCGGGTTATTCTTTTTCGTTATTTTGCCGTTTTCCAATCCCCACGAGAGAATCAGACGACAGTTATTACAGAAAAAAAAAAATGAAACTAGGGAATATGAGAGGGGAGGGTAAAACGTGGCGAAGTAAGTGGGATAGCTAAACTAGTTGGAAGAGACATTCGAGATGGTGAAATTAATTGAACTGTCGTTCATGATGCCACGGGATGATGATGCCCGATCAGAGAAACGAACGGCTCTATTACATTTTTACTCTCTCTACTTCTGTTGCCCATCGGCCCAACCATTTCATCAGCTCCAATGTTTCCGGTTGA